TATTGTTTGGGTGTTGAAGTGTAGATGTTAGCCCTCAGGTGAGGGGAACGTGGGAGCTCTGAAGTGAGAGCCTGTATCCTCCCAGCCTAGCCGCAAAATCAGTAACCAAGCATAGGATTAGTCAATGTTCTTTATGCCTGAAACAAAGGGTAAAGAATAGGTAGGCTCCTATTTGGCACAATATAAATTGAACTAATTCATTTTCTCCATTCACTATAATTTCTTGACAAGGAGAAAGATGCTTCTTATATATTGAATATCACAATTAAACACTACTTTATATCATTAGTTATTTATTAGTTATTAAAATTATATATTTATTTCAATTGCCTATTAGTGAGATAACCAAATTGAACGTCGTTGTTGTGATTAAAGTATTGTTTTTCTAAGGTCTTAGTCTGTAATTATAAACTACTCCTTGTGGGATCGATATCTAGGACTCCATTAGAGTCTTATATTACTTGAGCGATATGTATACTTGTGTTGACAAATTCGACTTTAACATTATTGAATATTATATTTATACATCTTAATCAAATTAGCACATATATAAAGTCGCGATCAAGCCTTTGGACGTCGTTGCTAGAAATTAAATCTTCTAGTTGCGCCATCAAATTCTTGTATTTGTCGATTTACAAAAAGTCTGTCACATCCCAAATATTCCCAATTTCATTTTCCTCAACTACCACATGACCCAATTTGGCCAATTTGACCATCTTTGACCAAAACCCTCATATTGCACGACCAAAACCCCCAAATTGCCCTTTAAAAGACCCATTTTCCCCAAATCTACCTCAAATGTCTACCAAATTGGTCTCAATTTCCCCCAATCTCAATCCTAAACTCAAATTCACCCTTGATATGACCAATCTAAACCAAATCCTAGCTCAATTGGTCCATGATTTGAACCCAATTTTAAGATCAAAACCCCAATTTTGGCCCCATGACTTGATTCCACCAAATTGAACCCATAGCCTACTCCATTTGCCACAACTTGTGTTTAAAAATCTTTATAACATTCCTACACATCAAAATTGACCATCAATTGGCCTTGGTGGAGTCTCAATTTGATTTACTTTTAACTTAATCTCAAAATCCCCAAATTTTTCCCAAATTGGCTATGCTCCCAAATTTCACCAAATTGATTGTCTTAATGTCAAAATTGACACCCAATTCATGTTAAAAACTCTTCATGAGGTTCCTATTGACCATTTTCAACAATCAATTTGAACTTGAAAGGCTAGCCCAACCTAGACTCAAACCTAGCCCAATGTGCCCAAATTGATCAAATTTCAAAATTCCTCCAAATTGACCATCCAATTCAACTCAAAACCACTTTCATCATTCACCAA